ATTGTAGATGAAGTCCTATCCAAGCTTGAGATTGGCGAATTTTACGTCAAGGTGATATTATCATCGTAATTGAATCATAATAACATTCTTCTGACGTTAATTTTCCGTTTTCTATTTCAGTTAAATCACCGTTATCTCTTGGAAGGAATGTTTGCAGCTTGTGGAGCTGGAGCTGATCAATTCAAAACCGTCTGTTCCTCCATAGATAAACTAGACAAAGTACCCTGGAATGAGGTTTGCTCCCTTTAAATTTCCTCATTTTTACTTATCGTTCCCTAATCAAACATAGTTATGAACTTACTACGGTAAATCGTTTTTGACTTTCGACTCTTCTTCAATAATCAGCAGATCTAATCGTTCTTGATGTTTTAAGTTTCTCTTCTGAAATTAATGGTGCCGTTGAAGAAAAGATATGCCTTTTATAGGTAGAAGAAGAACTTATCAAAGAGAAGGGTTTGACTAAAGAAAACACTGAGAAATTGGGACAGTTCGTTAGGTTACGAGGTAGATGTAATAGTCACATCTGATGCTACTATGCATTTTGAGCCCGCAATTTTAGAATTTAATCCCTCCATGGCAAATGTTGAGCTTTTAAACAAGTTGATGGAGTTTGATGAGCTTTCAAAGAACCCGAAGTTCAAAAAAGGCATTGAAGAGCTCAAGGTGAACATTATGAGTTTTTACTTTTACAAAACCTGTAGTCGTTATATGCTAATTTTAGGTGCTTGTAAACTACTGCGCACTCTTTGGGGTTGATACGGTCAGATTTGATCCATCTTTAGCAAGAGGTTTAGACTATTATACGGGTGCTATTTATGAAGCCGTTGTTCCTAGTAAGTAAGCTAATTTATTCTGTAGTCATTCATTTCCTGGGGTCAACTACCTTTTTCAGAAGCGTTGGAGGGTGTCAATCTGGAAGCAAACGGTGAGGAGCAGAAAGGGCTGCCAGTCGGTGTAGGGTCGGTTGCTGCTGGAGGAAGGTAAAATGCGACCACTTTTTCAATTTCATGTTTCTCTTATACTCGTGGTGAAAATGAGTGAATAAGTTTGTTAACATGGATACTTAGCCAGTTGGTAGTATTTTGTGCTTACTCTTCAAAAAAAATCAAATCTCAATTCAGATACGATGAGCTAGTTGGCAATTTCATAGGACCAACAGGCTCCAAAGGAAAGGAAAAGCGACAAGATGTACCATGTGTTGGAGTTTCTTTTGGAATTGAACGATTGTTTGCGATCATGGAAGCAAAAATGCAGGTAATGACGAAAATATTAAGTCTTACTTATATTTTTGTTCAGTTTTTTGTGTTTTTGATATGTTTCTTCCATGGCAGATTGAACAAATGCAAGTTCGTACCACTGAGACGCAAGTTTTCATTGCATCCGCCCAGAAGAACCTTTTGCAAGAACGAATGAAGCTTTGCGGTCAACTTTGGGATGAGGGTTTCAAAGTGATTGCTCTTCAGAATTTGTGATTCGAGTTTCAGTTGACTTTTAAGGTGGAAATGGCTTACAAAGCAAATCCCAAATTGCTGACCCAGTTGCAGTATTGTGAGGACCGACTTATTCCATTAGTATTGATTGTCGGAGAACGTGAATTACAAGAAGGAGTAGTTAAGCTGCGAAACGTGAAAACGAGGGAAGAAGAGGTACATATCTTTCTAGTTTCTTCAATCTGAGCTTTTATCTTCAGTCCATTCACAAGCTGCAAACAGTCATTGGTTTTTCTAGGATGTACCGCTCGCCAACTTGGCGGATACGCTTCGATCTGCTCTTTCCTCCATGTAAAGACGCATCCAAGGACGAATATGATCTGTTCATACATTCTGCACTTTTCA